CACACACACACACACACACACACACACACACACATATATATATATATATATATACATACATACATAAAAGATGGGTATTTTGATGGGAAATATAAAAAGAGAAAGAATACAAACTACTAGCTTTCATTTCTTTTCTTTTTTTTCAATCGAAATGTGCAGATTTGCAAATAAAGGTCGGATAAGTTAGAAAGCCAGGCGAAAAAGTATCCTCGTGGAGAAAGAAGAAGAAAATAAATAAAGAAAGAAAGAAAGGTACTTCATGTGTGATGAGTGAAATGCCTATAAATCTTGGTCAGCTTTTAAGTCTACTCATATGTTCATTAGGAACACAAAACAAATCGAAATACACATAAATCCTTTAAAAGCTCACAAATATTTCAAGCCTTCGTGGCTTTTTAATCCAAATTCTGTCAGTCTATGACCTGGTTTCACTTATTAAGACCATAATAGCCTATGGGGTGTCTATTATCATTCAGATAATCTGTGAACCCACGAAGTTAGTTTTCCTAAACAGTTAAGGTAGGCGTTTAACACTAAACATCGTCTTTAATACATTTATGTACTTCTGTAAACAAAAAAACCTTCTAAATAGGCTACAGTTTTCTCAGCCTTCCATCACTTCCGCTTACGACATCGAGGCGCGTCCTGCTTCGCAGAAGGTCCGTCGCGCAACAATGCGCAATGTTTAGTTCCGCACTTTTGGGCGCAGTGAAATATGCCTTGGTGCAAACAGGGAGCTACAGACAAGCTCGTCAGAGATTTTTTACGCACTGGAACCGCTGCAAGGTCGGAGTTTGTATAAAAATGACGGCTGTATGTTGTATCGGTGTAGCTCTTATAGACGCAGTAAAGATGGAGGCAGCTGTTGCACTGGAGGCCAGCAGACATGCGCTTTTATTATTGTGTTTGTATTTCATTGAGCATCACAGATGAATGAACAAGCGTGTCTGTCTCTTTTACTTTTATCTGTTATAGATCCAAGTGCTGTAATAAATGTATTCGGACGGTTCTCTTTATAGCTTGATAGCCAGCAGTAGCTTATTAAATGTACTCCATCTGTCTTGGAAATAGATGTAAAGTTAACATCTAGGTATTTAATGATTCAGAAAGCTTCAATTCAGTGTTCAGCATGAATCAGAGCATGAGATTTGGTTTTGTGTGTTCTACTTTTTTCCACGAAAAAAGTGTGTTGTGTAATGATGGCTTATGGGTTTTTGCTGGAGAGCCAGGATTAATGCAAACACAGCTGTCAAGATCAGAGGTAGTCTGCTGTCTGCCACAGGTGGCCCTCTGACATGTTTGTGATCAGTCTACATGTGATGACCTGTAAATGTGCTCTTTAACATCGTAACTTCATTTCTATCCAGCTGTCTGTGCTGGACACAACCAAAACACTTATTTTTTTCTTTCTGTCTCAGGAACAAGATGATGAAAAACTGGGGTGTGATTGGTGGAATAGCTGCTGCCATGGCTGCTGGAGTCTATGTATTATGGGGGCCAATTTCAGACAGGAAGAAAAAGAGAAAAGGTGAGTTGTCGGATTTATTTGAGATTTAAAATCTTTTTAAAAGTTTAAAGTCACCATGAAATTAAAATTTTATGGAATATAGAAGCAGTGTTTATTATAATTTATTTATCCATGCACGTCAGAATTTTTTTAATTCATCTGCAGTCCGTAACTTTTGGCGCTCTAGCGGTTAATAAACAGAACTGCGTGCGTCTTGCGGAAGAACATTGTAGCCGGAGCTACTTCTCTCTGTTTATGTCTATGGCGAATCACGCAGGTACTGGGCTACTCCGCAGCGGTACTACCCGAACCAGCCTAAAATAGTCCGAATATAAACACTTATCATAGGTGTACCGTAGTGATTCAGGACAAGCCAAAAACACGGTTTGGAAAATGGATTCATGGTGTACTCGCTTATTATATAAATTTTGTAAATTTTGAACACACAAACATTTACGGACTGCAGCTTTATTAATAAATAATTTTAAACATTAACTTCCTCTGCTCCTCGAAATTACATCTCTTCTCTGATGTTACAGCAAATATTTTTTCTTTTGCGTTCCTATTTGCCAGAATAGAAAAAAACAACAACTTTTCCTTGACTTTTCAAAGAGGAAAAAACGTGGAGAGCTTGATAGCATTTGGTCAGATGAGAGAAAGTCGTTGTATTAGAAACATTCACACAGCAGTTTTGACCAGTTTCATTTATTGCCCAAGTAATAAAACACAAAATATAGTATTATAAATGTACATGCATTTGAATTAAAATATAAAAAGCTTTGCTAGTTTTGCGATGTTAATAACTGTTGAAACGTCTCTTCACAGTCTTTGTAAAGAGTCATTCCTGTATCTTCTTACACAGATGGCTTGTCATGAATTTGCTTTTCACAAATGAATATATATGGCTTTTTATGAAAGCAATAAGGCTCAAGGCTGTGTTATATCCGAAATATAGTGGAAGCTATAGATTGCAGGTGTGTTTTGACTATTCATTGCTTAAATGTATTATTTCTCTCACAGATATTGTTCTTGGTCTACTGAATAATAGCAATAATATGATGTATTATTATTTTTATTATTAAATGTGTAATTTCTCTCACAGGATTGGTTCCTGGTCTGCTTAATCTGGGGAACACATGCTTTATGAACTCACTTCTCCAGGGCCTGGCAGCGTGTCCTTCCTTCATCAGATGGCTTGAAGACTTTACAAGCGAAAGCAGCGTCCATCCAGAGAGAACTGCGAGAGAGACTCATCTGTCCAGATCTCTGATGCAGTTACTTAAAGGTTGTTTCCCATTCAACAGATAGCACAAATGCGCAAAATGTTAATGCACACTAACAGGGTGACCTCTCCATCTTCCCTGCTTTATACAGCCCTGTCAGGTCATGATCCTGGAGAAGGTGATGTTTTAGATGCGGGAGGCCTTTTAGAAGCTCTCAGGCTTTACAGATGGCACATTAGCTCCTTCGAGGAACAGGTAGGATGTTCTCAAAGACAATGCAGTTGCAGTTTTTTCAGAATTTTATTTTTAAAGCGGTCATATGACGTTGCTAAAAAGAACATTATTTTGTGTATTTGTTGTAATGAAATGTGTTTATGCTGTTTAAGGTTAAAAAAACACATTATTTTCCACATACTGTACATTATTGTTTCTACTCTTTTTTTACAAAGCTCATCGTTCTGAAAAGCGAGGTGTGCTCTGATTGGCCAGCTATCCAGTGCATTGTGATTGGCCGAATACCTCAAGCGTGTGACGGAAATGTTACGCCTCTTACCATATTGTGATGTCGTCTCCCGGAGCGACGAGACAAAACCAATAAAACCCATTATAAACGAGGCATTTGTTGCATCCAGTCTTTTTACGTGTTGCATAGCGCCGCGTAAACATAAAACCATGTCTGCATTTGTGATCGGAGAAATGACAAACAACAAGCGCTACTC